GGATCTTTTTAAGTTGTACTGTTCTAAAACTTTGCTTTAGCTGCTTCATCTTCAAGTTCTGAGACCCAGATTATTTTAAGTGGGATGCTTGCTGGGATGGCTAAGGAATATCTCATCTTCCAGGGAATAGTACCAAGAAGAGCTAAACATATGCACACTGGGAATGTTTGCAAAGAGTGAGAGCTGGGCATTGATAAAAAGCTGCACAGAATAATTCTCATTGCTGACCCAGCCATCAAGGTTTAGCAGGGTCCTCTCAAATAAATTATCACATTTATAAGAATGAAATAGCAGTTGCCAATGGTCAAACATTACCCTGTAGCTTCTGTAATCAAGAAATGATCATCTGGCTGTGAAACTGGCTACATTTCCTCAAGTGAAATTGTATCCATTTGTAGAAGAAAAGTCTCTATTTTGCCATAATTAAAACTTGATCATGCTTTATTAACAAGCTAACTCTACATTCATCAGGGAAAATGACAACCTTTCAACCTGGATCAGCATTTGTTTGAATTCCTGCAAAGAGAGGTGAGGTTAAAACACCAGAGTAACCTTGTTACTGGTTTGAAAGAAAACAAATGAGCTGCAGCACAGAGAAAGATCAGCCTGGAGCAACAGGCAGAGCTTGTACCCAGAAAAAAGATACCTGCAAGCTACAGGCATGGGGAGAACCCTTCTAGGCAAAACCAACCAGGCAAAAGAGCTGCCTGGAATGCGGCTCATTTGACATGTTTTTTACATTGCTTCATCCCATTAGCACGATACATTTACATGCAGAAAACCCTGCATGCGTTATTCCTGTGAGTAATACCAGTATCCCATTAAAGACTGTGCGGTCAGTTAAACCCTGCAGGTAAGATGGGGAAGCAGGGCAAAAACGAAAAGCTGGGCTTGGCCTCATGATCAAATAAGTAAAAGCACTGCTGAGTTTCACATCCTGGAAAGGAACATTTAAAATGTTCTTCCTTTTCCAAGGCTTGTGTTCTGTGAGTCTTAGTACCACATGACCCAGTGTTGTAGTGAATTACAACTAAATCCAAGGCTCTTAAGAGCATTTGTTCCCCATGCCTCAGGTCTCAATTCCTGGGCTGTCTGCACCCAGCATTAATACTCCACAGATTGTACACTAAACTCCCCAGTACAACACAGTAGTGACCTCTCCAGCTGAAAGAGAAGTGGATGTATTCACTAGCTTTGGAGAAAAACTTAATGAAGCTGCCTTTTCTAAAGGATGGGGACTGAAAGGGCTAAGTGTAAGGTATGCAAATGGGATTTTCAGAGCCCCTACAAGAATTTTCATTACCTCACAGGAAAAAAGACTTGTATCTTCATTTCTTTCTATATAATATTTTCTTAATGAGTTTAAGTTTGATTTCTTCCATAGTTTGTTTCCTATCCATTTGATATTCAGTGGGCGCATTACTGCGCATTAGTGTGTCATGGCAAAAACCATCCTAATGTGCTAATGCACAGTAGAACTAGTCTACTGAACATTAAGGGTCACAAAAAACCCATTCTACTTTCCTACTATACATATGGCAGCTACTGCACCTTTATCTAGTATCTCAGAGGTACTAAACTTAATGTGCAATAGCAAAGGCTCATTAATGAACGTGTAGGCCCACCCTTGCTTCTAATCACAGAAGCAAACAACGTTTTTAAAGCAATAAGTGATAGCTTCCTGTACAAACAATATCAACTTTCCTGATTCAGATTCTATGTTTGTAAATAGCAATTATTTGTTCTCCTATATAGCACGATAAAATATGGGAAAGAGACACCTTAGTGATCCCCATGCAGCTAATATGGGAAACTGACTGACACAATGTCCTGCCACAGGAAACAATACAAAACTTGTAGTGATCTTCATTTTAAAAAGCATTTGTTTCCCAAGCACACAGCAATTAGGTAACACATTTTTTAAAAATGTAAAAAGCTACTTCAGTGGAGGTTACTTATTTTTTCTAAATTGAATTCAATAGATTTATAAATATATCAATAAATTTCTCCTGGTTTCCAAAACACACTGAGTTAAGTTTAAGAGGCTATAAGAGCATGGTTTCCCTTATAAGTGATAACACCACAGATTATGAGTAGAAAGAGATGTCAATATATATTTCATTTAAAGTTTTCTTACTCAGCTTGCTTAAATTCAGTACATTTTTCTCCCCAGTTTATAACAGTTTCAATTAATACATTCATTAGACAATGGACAAACAGTTATGCTTATTCCATAATCACTGGTCTGCCAAAATTAATCACCTTCATTTATAAAGACATCACTTGCATATTGTTGATAAGAAACTGACATATCATAGAAAAGACATATTCTGAAATTATCAGATTTTGAAAACTGATGCCAGAGATATTATGGCATAAAATAGAATTACCCAATGAATGCCATTTTTGAGTTTCCTAAGAAAGTAAGGTCATGAGTAAAATTTTCACCTAAAACCATTTTCAATATGACATAAGCCCCAAGAAGCCTAAATGTTATTGAAAGTCCATAGAAGTTAGGCTCCTGAGCCATATAGGCACCTTTGAAAATTTTACTTGAGCTACTGAAGAATTTTTTTTGACTGAAGAGACCCCTGTTTCTCTGACCTGCTGTTTCTGTTCAATCATCTGAATCTCTACGCAATCCAGCATAGCTCCTGTATGTCTAATTTAGATTCTCTTTCAAATGATAGAAAAAAACATATTGTTCAGAAAGCAATAAAGAGGTAGAAAAATTGACTGATCTCCAGTTTGTATTTATTCAGCAATACAGAAGAGTGTCTCTCATACCCTTTCCTGCAGGAGGCGTTAGAGACAGAGGAGAGTCATCTCCTACATGCCACCCTAGCACATGGGTTTTCTGTGTAAGGTTAGTTTAGCCAATGGAGCAACCACTCTTGCTCTTCTTATGTAGCCAAATGAAAGAGAAGCTTTGGATACATCTCTGTTAGATGGGAAGAGAGATTCACTTTTGATGCAAGAACGGAAAGGGTTAATACTCCCATCTTACTCAATACTCCCATCTTACTCTATTACAGATTTTGCTGGCCAGCAGTAAATATCAGTCGATAAAAGAGCAATCTTCTACTTTCCTTACTCTTACATAGATGTTTTCATAGCCCGAAGCCCGCTGAATTATGTTAATACAAGTCACACAGGTAAATGGTTCGGGAAGGGGCAGAGCTGGCCTTACGGAAAATGGCACCCTGGACAAACTTGTAGTTTGGCGCTCCTCAACCCCCGCCCCCAAGTCAGCAGTGCTGCTGCAGGCAGACTGGAACACGTGCCATCCTGCCCCCACGTGCCGAGCCTGGCTCCTCCTGAGCTGCAGATGGAGGCAGGGGAGGGCAGGGGTGTAACAAGGGAGGGGCGAGTGGGGTGACTGCCCTGGGTGTCAAAGCAAAGGGCCTCCAACAAGTGCTGCCCAGCTGGGGCAGGGCATGGGGCAGAGCTGTGAGTGGCTCGTTTGGAGGGGCATGAGGACGGGGAGAAGGTGTCTCCTGCTGCTGCGTGCACTCCCAGGCAAGTATGGGGGGAAATGTGCCCCCTGGATCTGTGCACGGGGTGAGGGCGGGCTGCAGGATTTGCTACAGGCGCCAAACTTCCTTGTCATGGCACTGGGGCAGGGCACCACTCCTCCTGCCTGGGGCAGGTATCATTTGGGCTGAGACAGGGCAGGGAAGAAGGCTGCTGTGAGCGCAGGCTGCTCACATGTGCATGTGTACATGTGAGTCTGTGTTTAGCACCCCTCACCCCCAACCATGATGCCCTGGGAAGACACCCATGTTGCCCACCCCTAAGACTGGCTCTGGCAAGGAGAATATACCCTGCAGCGTCATTTAGCTATAGTAAAAGCGGAACTGAATGCCTCTTGAATGCAGCTTTTTGAACATTCCCAAACATCCCAAGTAAAGCAGAATATGGACCATAAGGGAGCCCAGATCTTGCTTTCTATAGAGGTAAGTAAGTAGTCCAAATGGTTCAATTTCTGCACAACCTTAATCACATTCTTCATGTTGGAAAATCCAAACCAAGCTTGATTTAGTCTGACAGCTGCTGTATTAGGACAGGCAGGCACATCATTTGGAGAAGTTCCAGTTGTGCATTCTCTCTCGCACAGGTTTTCAAAATCTATGAACTGGAGACCTTCCATTAATCTTGTCACTTTTGGCTGAAAACTCAAGAAAGATTAACACTGCAAAATCTTCAGGGTTTATCATTGCTTTAATTTTATTTTTAGTGAATGTAATCATCCTGAAAGTTGTGTGAGGGCCAGCAAGCAATGCCTATTATTATAGCTCAACTGACCTACTTTCTTCATTTCCCACATAATGTGCAATACTTGGTCACTGAACACAAAAGTTAATCCGTACAGATTGATTTCCTTTTGATTTCATTGATTCTGGATTTTTTTCTGTGTTTGATATAAGAATTAACTTCAGACTATTGCATTTTTTAAATTGACAACAATTTGAACATTAATTTCCTACACAATGAGAAGATTGCCCTTGGGAGCTGAAAAATGTATTTTTTTCATTCGCTACAAGACAGCATTTGGTATCCTTCAGCTATCTGAAAGCCTGCCATATTTTAATGGTAATTAACAGTGAGCACCTATGCAGAGTAGCAAATCAGGAGCATCGCATTTTTTAAATGGCATTTGATCTGAGTCTTGTGATACCCTAATCATTTCACATATATGTTTCAGATCCATTTTAAGATAATCCACCTTAAAAAAATTCTACTCACACTAGGTGAGCTAAGTTTGGATTTGGCTTTTTTTCCCTTTCTTCTTGCAAATAAAATATGAGCATTAGTTTTCTCAAATGATGGGCAAGCAGATTTTGAATATGAGTCCATACATTTTCCTAAATCTTATGAGGCTGAAAATGTCATTCACATATATCATTTATACATTGCATCCTAGTTGATGTGCACATGTGGCCTCTTAGGGTTGTGTTGTAATTAAAGCACCAAAGTATTTTAAAAAATTGGAATCTTACCGTTAATAAATATATAGACCGTAGGTTCTATCTTCTTTTTTACAGCACTTGAGGATGGGTATTTGCAGCCATAGTATCCAGTGTCTTTTGCTTGAGTTCTGCTCAAGGTCAGACTACTACAGAACTGTTTCCCATTCCTTCCACAGGCATATTTAATTACTTTCAGCCTTTTGCTGTCTTTACTTAGTGTTTCAGGCAGGGACCATGAATGAACCATTTCCCCCCTGCAAACGCAGATAAGGAAGCAAAAACAATTATGTTGGGCTACAATGATAAAGCTCCAGTTCCCAAGCTTTCTTTTTTATTATAACAGGCTATTTCTGGGGTTCTCTTTTATCTTATTCTCCAAAAACAACAGAAACAACAAAGAACAACAGCAACAAAGAACTACTAAACAATTGCCATTGAAGTTAGCCCCCCACCTTTCCCCATCACACTGCGTTTTTTTCCAATTTTAGTTCCAAAAAAAGAAGTGTCAGGTGCATGAATACCCAGCCAAATTATGTGAAGCCAACTCAGCTGGTTACCTGCATGTGAGATTTAAAGTCTGGCCCGCTTGGATGACGTGCTGTGTGCCATTTATACTCAGTTCAGGAACTTTTAATTTTGACCCTGAAGTAGGTCCTAGAAAAACAATAAGAAAGTCATTAACAATGGCAAATCACCTTCCTGTATATAATTTACTCAACCATTTTTTAGTGTTAGGATTGGACAGGTTTAGCACAACTTTCCCCTCCTCCTTCTCCCACTCCCTCCCAACCCCGCTCCAGCTCCTTCCTTTGGGTCAAATCCTGTAGTCTTTACTCAGGGCCTTACAACCTCTCCTATGACACTAGCTTATGAAGGAGGGAAAAGGAAACGAAATCCCTGCAATGTTCCACCCTCTGAGCCTGTTCCAGAATTGTTCCTTTCTAGGAGGGGGCGGAAACATATTTTCCCCCCATGAAAAAGGCCCTAGGCCATGTGGCTTGGTAGTAAACTAGCGCTGTGATTACGTATCTCCAATGGAATGGCACTAGCAGGGTTCCCCCAGCCATCCACTGTCCCAAGGAACTTCAGCTGTCTTCTCTCTCTGGAGCTTCACAAGGAATAGTAGGGCACCAGTGCGAGCTGCTGCCCATTCCTCCAGTGGAGTCCAGGGAAAGAAGAAGAAAACGATGCCTCCCACCTAGAAGCCCCATTTCACAACAAGACCTATGATCTCTGTGAAGGATTATCATGTCTTCAGTCACAAATAAATCTCATTCACATAAACCTGAAAAAAGCAAAGGGAGCCTTGGAAAAATCGAGTAAGCATTCAGGATTTACTCCTGTGCTCTAAAACCTTAGCATCACAGTCTACTATCCCGCACATTAAAACTGCCATGACAGACCACTTTGTCCCTGCCCAAAATTCTTGTGAAACAAAATACTTTCAACACATTGATCCCATTGCCTACACACTGACTGCAAAGCATTCCAGACAAGCAAAAGCATTGGATGCAGGGGTGGCAGTGGATATAGTTTTCCTAGACTTCAGGAAGGCTTTTGATACTGTCTCTTACCCCATTCTCATTAGGAAGCTGGGGGACTGTGGCGTAGACACCCATGCAGTCCAATGGGTCGCCAACTGGTTAGAGAGTCGCACCCAGAGGGTGGTAGTGGATGGGTCCTTCTCGACCTGGAAGGACGTGGGAAGTGGGGTCCCACAGGGCTCGGTCCTTGGGCCTGCACTGTTCAATATCTTCATCAGTGATTTGGATGAGGGGGTGCAAAGCACCCTGTTCAAGTTTGCTGATGACACTAAGATGTGGGGGGATGTGGGCACAATAGAGGGGAGCAACAGGCTACAGTTGGACCTAGACAGGTTACAAGGATGGGCGGAGGAGAACAGGATGGGGTTTAACACAGACAAGTGTAAGGTGATGCACCTGGGGAGGAACAATCGGCACCATACATACAGGCTGGGGAACTCCCCTCTTGTCAGCACGGAGGTGGAAAAGGATCTGGGAGTCATTATTGACTCCAAGATGAACATGAGTCGGCAATGTGGGGAGGCGGCTAGGAAGGCCAACTGCACCTTGTCGTGCATCCACAGATGCATCTCGAGCAGGTCCAAGGAGGTGATCCTCCCCCTCTATGCGGCACTGGTCAGGCCGCAGCTGGAGTACTGCGTCCAGTTCTGGGCGCCGCACTTTAAGAGGGATGTGGACAGCATCGAGAGGGTCCAGAGGAGGGCCACTCGTATGATCAAGGGACAGCAGGGTAGGTCCTATGAGGAAAGGTTGTGGGACCTGAACCTGTTCAGCCTTCAAAAGAGAAGGCTGAGGGGGGATCTTGTGGCCTGTTATAAACTGGTTAGGGGGGATCAGCAGGCGCTGGGGGAGTCCCTGTTCCCCCGAGCGCCGCAAGGAGTGACCAGGAACAATGGTCACAAGCTGGCGGAGGGAAGGTTTAAGTTGGACATCAGGAGGCGCTACTTCACGGTCAGGGCGGCTAGAGTCTGGAACCAGCTTCCAAGTGAGGTGGTGCAGGCTCCCACCCTGGGGGTTTTTAAGAGGAGGTTGGATGACCACCTTACTGGGGTCATTTGACCCCAGTGCTCTTCCTGCCATGGCAGGGGGTCAGACTAGATGATCTGCTCAGGTCCCTTCCGACCCTAGAAACTATGAAACTATGAAAAGGCTACCAGCTTAGGTCAGAACCTGGACAGTACCAAAAGTCTTGAATCAAAGTCATAAGGATCTTGCATCAAAATAAAAAGAACAACTTTGAAACAACCCAAAGGCAGCTGAATATGAAGAGGAAGAGAAAGGATTTATTAAACAATATATGAAAGAGACAATATTAAAAACACAATTGTCTTGTGTACTATGTAATGAAGTAGGCTGGAGTGAGATTTTAATCCATCCATTTTACTTAACCCTAGGGCTCCTATAACTATTGTATCCATACAGATTTAAGCACCAAATAGAGTATAGATCCATTTCCATGATGGACTTGCAGGCCCAAATCCTATTTCACCTAAAGGCATCCAGCTGCTACTTACACATCCAAATGTAGCCACATAAGAGGCATTTTTTGCCATAATGTGGCTTTTTCATTGTATTTCCACCTGCCCAGCTAAACTGGTCTTCTAAGCACGCTCACAAAATTTTCTCTATGGCTCTGGGGTGCTGCACAGGCATGTAACTTTCATGCATGTTCCTCAAAGGTCATTCACAGAAAAACCACAATTAGTGCCCTTGATGTCAGAGGAGAAAGGAGCTCTTATTTTTTTAGGCCAGTGGTTAGGGTACTTGCACAGAAGGTGGGAGAATCTAGTTTCTATGCCGTCCTCAGTCGGAGGGAGTTTGAATTTGCATCTTCCACTTCTCAAATTGTCCTAAATCACCAGGCTATGTCTAGATAGGTCTGAAATTCCTCTCCAGATCTCCTTTAAAAGCTGTCCCACTATGATCATGGGGATACATTGTCCCAGAGGAAGGCACATGACTTGGTAGATGGCGTATATAGCTGTAAGGTAGCAGTGACCTGAGCCACTGAGAGTTTCAGCAATTTAGACAGAGTATTTTAATTGGCAGTGGAAATGACCTGGAAGCCAGCTGAAAACACCGAGTGCAGGTATGAGAAGTTCTGAGCAGCTTTTCCTGATAAAGTTCTAGTCAACCACAATAACCTTTCAGTACATACCGTGTGACCTAGCCCAGTGCACAAAATTAGAGTGAAGTAAAATAAATCACAATATTTGGTTGATTATCAGTATGCAGAGTAATTCAGTGGCAGTATTTTTACAAATACACATTTTAAATATCTGTACAGGATCTCTGCAATTTGTTTGTTGAACAACAGTGAAATAAAAATGTGGATATTACCTTTTCATGAGAAACCTGACTTTTGTTTTTGCCCCTTTTGCTCTGGAAAAAATAGTTTGCTTGAAGACTGTTATTTTAATTAAACAGTTTTGACAAATCAAAGCAAAGCAACAGGCTACTAACAAGATGATTGTTAGGTTGTTTCCTTCTCCCTGCCCATCAGCAAAATCAGTATAAAAATAAATTTTAGACCATTATAACATTGGTATGTGTGAAATGTCAAACACCTCAGATGGAAATTTCTGATAGCTCCTTTTGGGAAACAGAAAACCTATTATTTACAAAAGTCCTAACAAGACTTATATACCAAAGATTGACTCAATTTGTGTTTGATCTCCTATTCTAAATACTAATTACTGTGCTGAAGTCAGCAATCCCTTCCCAGGTTGCTTAATTCAAGACAGGGACCTTTTAGTGGGTGCTAGGGCAACACAAGGGAGTGACTAGTCGGTTTGAGAGCTAGACAGCCAAAGAGAGCTCCAGCAGCCTCAAAACAGAACGTCCTTCATATTCATAGGCAACTGGTAGGGGAGGCATGGGGGGGGGGGGCACATGGAAATGGAGGCCTGCCTTGCCCTTAGCAGTGGCAGCACCAGGAGAGGAAGGTGCCCCTCCCCCTGCTGGAGTCCATACATTCACGTTTATAATGGGGTGTAGGGGCCTCCAATTTTCCGTTTGCCCAGGGCCCCAATAAATCTTAATCCAAAACTGGCAGGTAAGCATTGTGCTGACATTCTTTTTTTCATGGTTGTGTATCTATGGAGCCATGACTTAAAAAGCACAAATCTACCCTTTTAACTATGTATGTTTTCTGAAGGATTAGAAAATTGCAGTTAGTTCTTTTAGTTTGCTCTTCTAATGAACTATTTACCCAGTTCATAAACACACCACACCGTTAACCAGGGTCCAGCAATCATTTTAGGCTGTGGGACTGGAACAGCCCATCTCAGTCTGGTGCAAGCTGGATGGCATTGGCTTTGGCAACACAGCAGTGAGAAAGTGAGGGGAGGAAGAAGTGGTGAACCATGGACATGGTCAGAGGCAAAGCCTTCAGGCTCCACTGACCAGATCCAGTGCCTCCATGGGCCACATCCAGCCCATAGGCCATATGTTCCCAATCCCTGCTGTTAACTATAAATAATATTAAATCAGTTTCTAAATGATGTGTTTAAAGAAGGAAGGTCCACAAGTCTTTACATAATGGATTTATCATTTTGAGCCTCAAAGTTTCATAGTAGTTTGGGGTCAGAAGGGACCTGAACAGATCATCTAGTCTGACCCCCTGCCACTGATAGGAGTTACACGTTGGGATCGCACGACTCCAGACACGTGTTCGTCCAACCTCTTTTTGAAGGTAGAAGTGAGAACCACTTCCCTAGGAAGTTGGTTCCAGATCCTAGCCACCCTAACAGTGAAATAGTGCTTCCCAATCTCTAACCTGAACCTATTCTCCAGCAGCTTCTGACCATTGTTCCTCATCCCCCCTGGTGCTGCTGGGGGGAATAGGGCCCTTCCTATTTGCTGCTGATCTCCCCTAATGAGTCTCCAGGCTGGCCACATCCTTTTTAAAGTGCAGTGCCCAGAACTGGACACAGTACTCCAATTGAGGCCGGACCAATGTCACGTAGAGGGGGAGTATCACCTCTCTGGACTGGCTTGAGATGCATCTTTGGATGCATGACAAGGTGCAGTTGGCTTTGCTGGCTGCAGTCTGGCATTGGCAGCTCATGTTCATCTTGGGGTCAATAATGACTCCAAGATCCCGTTCTACCTCTGTGCTCACAAGGGGGGAGCTCCCCAGCTTGTATGTATGCTGTGGATTACTTCTCCCCGGGTGCAACACCCTGCATTTCTCTACGTTGAACCCCATCCTGTTACCATCCGCCCACTTCTAGCTAGTCTGTCTAAATCTAATTGCAGCCTCTCTCTCCCTTCGAGCGTGCCTACCTCTCCCCACATCTTGGTGTCATCGGCAAACTTGGACAATGTCACCCCCTTGTCCAAGTCACTGATGAAGTTGTTGAACAGTATAGGCCCCAGGACCAAGCCCTAAGGGACCCCACTTTTCACATCCCATCAGGTCGAGTACGACCCATCCACCACCACTCTCTGGGTACGCCCCATCAGCCAATTGTTTACCCATCTAACTGTGTAGGCATCAATGCCACAGTCACTTAATTTATTAATGAGAATGGGGTGAGAGACAGTGTCAAAGGCCTTCTTAAAGTCTAGAAACACTACGTCCATGGTGACACCATCATCCAGGGTTTTGGTTACCTGGTCATAAAAGGCCATCAGGTTGGTCTGGCAGGACCTGCCTTTGATGAACCCATGTTGATTTCCCCTGGGCATGATCTCCCTTGCTGGCCCCTCAGATGTGATCCTTGATAATTTTTTCAAGGTTTTTCCCCAAGACAGTTTTGAGGCTTATGGGTCTATAGTTTCCTGGGTCCTCCTTTCTCCCCTTCTTATAAATGGGGACCACATTAGCTAGTTTCCAATTTCTGGGCACCTGGCCCATGGACCACGATTGCTCGTACAGCTAGGCCAAGGGCACAGCAATGAACCCCGCCAGCTCTCTCAACACCCATGGGTGGAGGGCATCAGGGCCCGCAGATTTAAAAACATCCAGCCCTTCCAGAAGATCCTTAACTACATCTGCACAGACCCAAGGCCTGGCATTGCTATCCCTCTGATGAATATATTTATATTTTTTGATCATTTTCGAAAAATCTAAATGCCAGTGTCTTGGCTTTGCTGACAAATGCACTAGCAGTAAAAAGATGGTTGGGCAAGTGGGGCAGGAGCCCCAGATGATGCCTAATCAGGGAGGGGAATGTCTTACCCACTCACCCCACACCGGGGTAGGCAAAATGCAGCCAGGGGCTGGATGTGGCCTGCCAGGCCATTCTATCTGGCCCGTGGGGACCCTAAAAGATTTAGAAAATTAATATTAACCTGCCCTGGGATGCCTGTCATGTGGCCCTTGATGGCTTGCCGAAACTCAGTAAGCAGCCCTCTGCTCAAAATAATTGCCCGCCCCTGCCCTACACACTGCACTTTCCTGCATTAGCACAGCTCAGCTCTGGCTCCAGCAATAGGGACAGCAGAGGTGGTTCACTGCTCCTGAGGAAGATGTCATTTCCTTTTTTTGCCTCTGGAAACTGGTGTTGAAATGGCCAAATGATGCATGCTGGCCGCAAAAAAGGAGGTAACATCTCTCCTACATCCATTGCTCCTGCCCAGTGCTGGGTATTGTCCAGTTACACCTCTGAAGTTCCTTTCCCTTGTCATATCCTTGTGACAAGGTATTTAGCAGAATTTGCAGAATTTGTTGGAGTCTGACAGGATGTGCCATGAGCATTTTTGCAATGGCTTATGTGCATTATAATGACAACTTTATTAACTGGATAATTTCTTGCACTGAAAATCTGAGATCAAATGTACTTGATTATTATAACATTTCAAGTATGGCTACAGATAATCAGAAGTGTTTAGGCAGCTGTTAAGGAATTAAATTCAGACATTTTAGCTTATATCTTTTGTCTATGTTCTCCAGCTAAAGGATTTGAATATTCCAATAAACCACCTGGCAGATGTATTTGATTTACATTTTGCTCATTATATGAGTAATGATGGTTCTAATATTCTTGCAACAAAAAGAAAAAAAGAGTTTGTTGTTTCCTTTTGAAACTGGTTTCTTAGAAATACCAAAGATTTCAAATACTGAAAAATCTGGGTGCACATGATACTGCACAAAATGAAATAGAGACAGCCTGTGCCCCAAAGGGTGTAGTCTAAGGATGTGGAACCACATCAAGATTACCATGGAATAAAATTATCTTACTCAGTAGTAAAAGTGGAACAGATATCAGATGCACAGCCTCTACAGAATAAGTCTCCTTTAGGTCAAGGTATTGAGGAAAAGGCTATAACAACATTACTCTGGGGTAATTTATGACAGGATAAATGTCACATGTCCATTCCCCTCGCTTTTATCCCAGGATAGCCCTTTGCTCAATGATAGGCTATTAACAGTTCCCCCGCCACCTTGTGGCAAGGTGCCATAATAGCATTTAGTACAAACAACACCAGTGTGGGTTCTGTATTACTTTATGAGTGACAGAGTAAAATTCAGGGAAAATGTATCCATTCTGGCCATGATATGTGTCCACATGCTAACAAGAGGTTTTCTCTGGATTCTGCTTCATAGAGTTAGCATAGACTAATGCTGCTTCTTCACTCAGGATCCCTGTGTTATATTCCAGAATACTGATCACAGGGTCAATCAGATAAACTTTCCTTGGAATGTGATAAAATATGTTACTTTTCCTGAGTTCATTAGTGGTATCATAAGCAAAAATTTCCACCTACAGAATCTCAAGCCTCACCTTTCATTATACTTAAAATACAAAACCTTGGAAGCTTGTTATTCACAATGCTCTAGAACATTTGCCACGAAGCTATTAAACTCAAATCAGAAAATTCTCACTGCCCCCCAGCCAGGGGCCAGAAAAGAATCCATGTAGGAGTATGATATAGATCCAGGGTTTTGTTCTGTTACCTATTAAAAAAAATAAACAGGTACAGATTTCTTTTAGGTGGGATATAAAGAAGTACTCAGAGGGCGCATCTACACAAGATGTTTACTGAGGAGCTGCCTAGTTAGCTCTTCAGTAAAGTCTCAACATTGCCACGTGTGGGCCTCAGGAAACTAAGAGTAATAACTTCCTTTACATTCCCTCCATGCATGGATGACTAACTTGCCTACATTTTTTAATAATACAGAACTGATCCAAAGAATAAATGTAATAGGGTTTGACATGCTCAGCAGAAAAGAAAAAGAAAAGGAGAATAGCATAGAAATTCCTAATGTCAATATTTACAAGGGGATCACGCCTTCTGTGTACCTTCTTCAGGCATTTTACTTGACACTGGCTTTTTTGGAGGGTTGTGGCTTTACAAGACATGTTAATTTATCATTGTGTTTGTCACTAAGCGACCATCAACAACCTACCCTTGCACTGACCTGCATTGTAGTCCAACTTCTTTTCATGTGAAAACAACAGAATAAATTAAAATCTGAAAAGTGGAGAATCTCCTCCCCAAGTACATAGTAGCATGTTCCCCATATTTTATTTTGAAAAAGTGTATTGGTGAAATTAAAAATCAGCCAAAAGACTATTTGACTAATGTGTAAATTCTAATTTAGATAACAAAAAAGTTATCCAAACTAAGGACAGGTTCAAAGAATGATTTAACTAGGCACAAGTCACAGCCTGTAGTGTTTAATGTCATAAGTAGTTCTTTTAGTTTATTATGCATAGGAGCTAAAGAATAAAAGTGATTGAAATGTGGTCTATCTTTTGGTGAGACTATAATGTTCTTTTCACATGCAGAAACAGAAGCTTGAAATCGATGCTGCACATCCCACTGGTGAGATTTATGCATAGGCTAATACAGACTTATTTCAAATTAATGTACATCAGATACAAAATGAACATGTCTATGTAAATTTGATGACTACTATGCATGTGATTTACAAAACGCGCACACGTTTCCTAGTTTTACAAACCTATGAGTAATTATCAATATATGGTTAAACCCTGTCATAGATGAAGTTAACAGCAAATCTTCTACTGACTTGGGAACAGGACTCACCCAAACTGAATACAATCCTACTGTGCTCAAGTTTGGGACCATATTCTGGACAGTTTTTGTGATCTGCTATCCAGCATCTACTGTCCATAAAAACATTACACTTTAAACATCTGTAACACACTATTGTTTAAAAGAAAGAAAGAAAGAAAGAAAGAATAATTACAGTATAGCTTTGCGCATTTAAAAAAAAAAAAAAAAAAAAAA